CCCCCCACCTCCAAACCAGGGCAGTGCTACTGACTGAAGTTGTCTTTAGGCCATTCCCAAAGGGGTGATATTAACATGTTCTTATGCATAGTAGAATTGTAAATGGGCTTATTTACCAATGCCATGCTCATACTTTGCTGGAACAACATAGGGGGAACTGCTGCTTTTTCTTTCCTCATCCTTACTATCGGCATTTTCCTCTACTTCTTTTGTATGTTTGTCGCTGTCTTGTGAACTGCTATTTCCGGGGTGCCTTGATAGTGGAAGAAGACTTTGCGCTGTTGAGGCTAGAGAGGTGAGCAGAGTAAGCCTGGTTCCCCGTTTGGACTTTTATGACCTCCTGCAGTTGCGAGCGCCGTAAAACTTTACTAAAACAAAACAAACATCTACTGCAAATTTAACTACCACCCTTTTCTTTCGTGGGGCGCTCACGGTGAATGATTGGATCGGTTGTGTGTAATGACTGTGAATGTGGGTTAAGTAGGTCGATGCATGCGCGCGCACTTATTATTGCCAGGCGGATATCGATTCCTTGTCATCTGACTGGTTTATGTGCTTCCAATACACATTGGTAACTGTAGAGAACATCACGACAAGACGTCTTGGGTTGCGTTAGTTCCCCTGTGAAGGTATTGCTATTTTCTTTATTTTGCTCGGGGTTTGTATTGATTATTTGTTTACCTTCTATCTTAATAATAATAATAATAATATTGTTTTGTTTTCTGCATACTATAATATACTTTTTCAAGTAGTATTTTTAAATATTATGTTTTATATTGATTTCATTGAACGTCGGTCATATTATTCCTTGTTGCAAAAACAAAACAACAATTATGCCCTTCAAACCCAATGGGTTTTTTAAAAAACTTTTATCTTTGGAAAAAAACACCCAACCTTCAACATGTCTATATGCATGGGGAAAGGGGGTGTAGACCTACCTGCTTGTCTGTTGTTGCTGGTGTCTTTTTTTTCTTTCTTTTACTTTCGTCTTACTTGCCTCATACAATTCATCTGTAAGTGCTCATTTGCGAAAAATTGAGATTGATCGATTTAAGTCTTGGCGAGTTCTCACTCTTAATCCACCGCTCCTATTGCCTTTGTTCGTTTGCTGTATCTCTATTTTTGCCTGCTGAATTGCTCGGAGGGGTGTTCGTTCGGTGAGCTTGGAGGGTGTTTGTACATAATTTGTATTTCTATCACATTTAATGCCCCGTGTATGAAAACAGTGAGAGGCTGGTGGGTGTTCTTGTGCCGCGGGCTCCGGCCACACTTTTCAGTGTTTCTGTTTTCTTGTACGACGGCTGGATCGGGCCGATTGCCCGACTCGGTCGCATGAAACTGAAAACAAACGTTTGTTATTGAGGCGACCGAGTCGGGCGATCGGCCCGATCGGCCGATCCCATCCGTAGTGGGCACCCCGTATTTGTTTGTTATTGGAAACTGCAGACTTGCGCTTGTGGTGTCTTCCATTAAAGATTTGTGGGTGGTTGGAGGGCTCCACTGGTTAGGTCCTACTTTACTGTCTCATTTAGAAAAATATTATTGGTTTGTATTTGCTTTGTTCTGTTTTGTTTTTCTAGACGAGTATATCGGTCTTTCTGCTGGAGCGTTGTATTCCACTCATCCAGGGTTAGCCCTGCCAGTCAGGGTCGGAGCCCGCCTCCTAAACTAAATGAAGTCGATGTGTGTAAAAAAAAAACCTTCATGAAAGTGGGGGGTTTTTTTTTTAAAAAGACAGATCATATCAACCTGCCTTTTTTTTGTGTTGCAAGATAATCATTAACCCTCGCCTCTTTCCTCTCGTTACAGATCGTTCCGTTGAAGATCTTGCGTTGATCGCCTGAAGTAATCGACAGAGAGATCCAGCTTTAGATACCATCATGGGATTCTGCACGGGTTTTGCGAGGTTGCTCCTCATCACCTTCAATATCATCTTCTGGGTGAGTCAATGTCCTAGAGATGGTCCGTGTACGGTCCCTTGGTGCAACGGAATATCTGTGCCACAACCCCCACCAACACCACACCCCCCCTACCCCCAAGCCTTAATCGATAAGTTTCTTTGCCGTTAGGATTAAGTAGAAAATATGTCGGTCGTAAAAGATGTTCATTAAAAAATATCCTAGATGTTAAAAATCACTCGTAGCATATGTCTTTCCTCTCCATGGTTTAGTGTCTTTTTAAAAATCCATTTACCTGTTTTAAGTTGTAGGATTCATAATACGTAAAAGTACTAGATCAAAATTCAAAGTGCTATATCATATATGTTTGAAAAGTTTAGGTGAGGAGAAAGGGGGAGGGGGGTGGCGTTAAGTCCTCACTTTAAAGCAAATTAATTGTAGCCTCCCCCTCCCCCAATACCATACAATTCTCTGGCTACCTGAATTGCGCGGACTTGCAATAAGTGTTTATTATGCCTTTGTCCTTGCAGTTGAAAGATGTAATAGGATATCAGAATCTGAAAAGGAGGAATACATTGTAGTTTTATCTTTTTTTCCTTCTTTCTATCGCTTTTTGTTCATGCTGTTGAAAGACGTATTACATGTATAATGTCTGAAAAGTAGGAACACAGTGTACTGTTTTATTTTTTCCTACTGTCATCTTTTCTTCATGCAGTGGAAAGACATAATATGATGTCCGAAAAGGAGGAATACAATTGTGTTTTCTTTTTCTGTCTAGTTTTTTTTTCTATTTTTTTTCTCTTACTGTCACCTTTTCTTCATGCAGTTGAATGACGTATTATAATATCTGAAAAGGATTTGTTATTATGAAGACGTAATGTAATATCTGGAAAGGATTAATACAGTAGTGTTTTCCTTACTTTTTTGGGGGTTATCTTCTCCAGCTGTCAGGAGTTGTCATCCTGGGCGTTGGCATCTGGATCCTGGTGGACCCTGACCTCCAGGATTACCTTGACGTCATCAAGGACGCGTCCGGCGGCGAAGACTTCCTGAAGATCGCGGCGTACATCCTGATCGGGTTTGGCGCCTTCGTCTTCCTGGTCGGCTTCTGCGGCTGTTGTGGCGCCATTCGGAGGAGCAAGTGTCTGCTAGGCCTGGTGAGTACAGGGGGAGTGGGTGGGGGGGAGAGAGAAAGAGAGAGAGAGAGAGATATGGAGGGGGGGGGAGTTGGGGAAGGGAAGTGGAACGATGCAAACGGGAGAGGGAGAATGGGAAGGGGAAGCGGGGGATGGAGGAGGGAAGGAAAGGGGGGTGAGGATGAAGGAGGGGTGGGGGAAGCGAGGGAAGAAGGATGGGTGGGGGGCTAATTCAATAAGCAGGATTGGTTTAGTTGTAGAAGTAAGGCTCTTGGCCCCATTCGCAGAGGACGTGAATTTGATTCCTGCACGGGGAAAGATTACACTTCGGGGAGGGGGGGGTGCTTGGGTGTATCCCACAAATCCAGGGTTGGTCCTGACAATTTTTCTCACGTATCTTAGAAGTCGGAGATCAGCGTTTCTGATGTTACGATGTAAGGGTTTGGGTCCTTGCAGTACCTGCAATCAAAAGACATAAGTTCAATTCTCTTTCCAATATATTTTATTGAGGATTTCTCTTTTTTTAAGGACGTTGCTCGGGTTGGCCTTGGCTTGCCTTATTTATCTAATTTTTGTGGGTAGATGATGGGTACATGAAACATTTACTATCGTTGTCGAGAAATGTCGTTTATTTTATATATATTTTTTATTTATGGGTGGGTTTGGTCGGTGCTCAATGTGTGCTATTATTGGCGAATTTCGATATAATTTTATACGACTTTAATCGTTTTGCTATTCAGATTTGAGAGAGAGAGAGAGAGAGAGAGAGAGAGAGAGAGAGAGAGAGAGAGAGAGAGAGAGAGAGAGAGAGAGACTCTGATTTTGAAACCTAAGGATGAACAGTATTTATTGCGCCAAAGTGCAGTAACCATCCCTTCCGATTTTCTTGAGTGTACATAACGAGTACAGCCGTTTTCACTCCATTTTTTCCCCGATAGATATCGCAGCTTGTATCGCAGTTTGGGTTCTTTCACCCGATTCGATTTCCCAAGAACAGTGAGTTTTGGTTGTATTCTGAGGACAGTTAGGAGGAATTTTGTGGGGAAACAACCGTGAGGTAACAAACTCCCGCCGAGGACTTTGGTGGTTTTTGCCTGAGTGATAGAACCAACGATGTTCCTGAAGAATTTGTGTGTGTATTTTCTTGTTGTTTTTTTAAAGTGGAACGGTGTTACAAAGATTCGATTGTACGTGTCGTTCACTTTAACAATGGACGCATTATAAGAGCTTATCTGTGCGGAATTCCGTTAGATAAACGCAGACTGGCTGACATTTTCGATTTCCTTGCCCGACCTGGTCACGGTGACCCGTCTAGTTGGATAAGTGGGGATTTTTGGTTGTGTAGAGATACGGCTCTTTGCCTCGTTCACTGCCAGAGGACGTGAATCCGATTCCTACATGGGGGAATAATTATAGTTCATTGTCTTTTTGCTTGGGTGTGTCCCTCAGAATCAGATTTGGTCCTGTGGGTGGTTCGTGGGTGCTGGGATGTGGTGTGGTTTACTCCTTCTTTCCTATCAAACATTTTTTTTTCGTCCTACCTCTCTTACTACTCTAATCGTCGGCACTTATACGACCTATTTGTGTTGCAAGTGCCGTAAAACCCACACTTAAACATAAAAAATAGTTTATCCTGAGATGTAGGATAGGAACAGGCCCACTCCTTTGAATGATCGAACTCGTGCTCATCTGGACGTGAAAGAATTGTCGACTCTAGAAGTATGGGCACGTTGTGTCTAGGAATATGAGAACCTAATCACCTTTCCATCTAGAAATGCCAGTACTTGATCCTATTGTATCCAGAAATATGAGTTACTAGCTGGGTCCCCTTTCGATGAAAAGGATGATCCCCCTTTCGATGAAAGGGATGATCGGTGCTTTAATATAAGCTGAAAGTCATTGGCCTACTATATTTACACTCTACTGGAATGGGGAAATAAATATTGAGAGATGCAAAAAATTAGGTCTAGATCTATACTCTCAAAATAAAATGCGCCTCTCGAAATATCACTTTCGGATTTTCTAAAATTACAGAGACAGAAGCTTCGGCCTACAAAAGCGATCGGCGAAATAAAGAAATTTAGCTTTTTGCAGCAAAACTGTCTCAAAACTGAAAAAACCAAGGGCGCCATGATCTAGAGAATATTTTACAGAATTTTTTGGCGAAAACCGCATGTCGATCGATGCAGCCATTAAAAAGCCTTTTGAATAGCAAAATTGGGCCACCACAAATAGATAATAGATTGTAATTTGTTTTATACCAAGAAATGGGATGATTTTATCGTATTTTTTATCGTATTGTATCTAGAAATATAATTACTTTATCGCTTTGTCTAATCCGCTGTGCACATTGTCAATCGAATTCTTTTGAATTGATTGTGGCCAACCCGATTTTACTCCACGGAAGAGGGGGAAGCCGCCATCGTAGCGCACAATTCCACCGAAGTCGAGTGTAGCCTTCTAAAACAAAAGATGTGTCTCATTTTTGTTGTGGTCGGCCGGCCGGATAGTCTGCCACACATGCAGCCCGCCAACGCTAAAATTGTCGTCTCTAAACGTAATGAAGACTACGTCCTTTCGTAAAAGTAATAGCGAATTCGGAACCAGCGTATCAAAATTAACCAAAGACTCTCAGATTACTCTTTTTCTTGCTGGATTTTGAAGATCACACACGCATACACACA